AAGGCTTTCACCGCAATTATGGTTTATATCGGTTGGTCATTGCCGAAGTCAAAAACTTGAAGCACGCCTTGGCTTCACTTTTATGGGGGGGAAACGATAGCGTAAACGGGCCCCATGTGAATCGCCTTCTCAATCACTAGTCTAGCTTCGGTTCTCGGTAGAAGCAATGACCGTGCCGTAAGTAAATGAACGACTTATGTGCGTAACATTGGCCGGTTCAAACTATCTTAAAATGCCAACTGCAAGTACAGTTTTTAAGCGCCCACTACGCATCCGTAAGGCAACACGCGAACCTATACAGCTGCTTCCTTTGTTAATGCGTTTGCTGATGATAGTGATTAGATATGTTCCAGCGCTTTGTAATTGGTGAACCTTTAAAACATCCACTATATGCGCAATTACCATGTTTTGATGACGGCGCAGTTTTACGCTTCTGCCACGCAACATTACATGCGTTAAGGAGACTCCTTTCACTACATGACACTTAAATAGTGTTTTTTTCTTCTTCTGGAAGCTGTTTCAAGCGGTATCGTAGCTCTGTCAAACGCCTTCGCATTTGACAGAGCTACGCTATTGCTTGAAACAGGCTTGCACGATTGCTAGTTGTTTATGCGAGTAAGAAATATGTTACAGCACTGTGCGGGTGACGTGTATGTTGGTCTGCATTGAACGACCTTTCAGACCGCAAGCCTGGTATAGGCCCCAGTGACTATCAACATCGCTAATTGTAGCCTGTCTGATAGTGCATTTGCAAAAATTTCATAGTTGGGCATTACAGCGTGATCGGTCTACGACCACCAAGATGACCAAGCTTGTCTTTGAGTATTTTGGAATTGGTACAGTGTGTCATCCTGTAAAAGATCGCAGAGGCATTCCAAGAGTAAGACAACAGTGTGAAAATGTTGAGATGTACAGGGCACAAAAAAGGCTTATAGGTTTCAGAAAACACGTCCGACATTCCGCCAGGTCCTGCGGGTTCACCATTGTTTTTTGTTTCGTCTTCTCGACGATGCCAACGTTGGATCCACAATATTTAAAGGTGTAAAATAATGCTACAATGATTGTTCGACTCTTTAGATTGTTAATGGTCAACTTTGAAAGCCTGTGTCGATCCACTCTTCTGTGAAACAAGGCTGTCTATTGTCGCCACTGCTTTTGCCCTTAGAACCACTATGCTTAGGTGTGATTCGATCTTGCGAAGTTCGGGGTTTCAGTGCTCATGGAAATAAGGTGAAAGTATTAGCATATTCGGATAACCTGGCGTTTTCAAGTATAAAAACAGGGGTGTCTACAATTAGGATTTTTCGAACCATTTAAGGTGCTTATGGACTTTGCTATAGATTTGGGACTCTGGTTTCGCCCATGGACAAAACAACGCATTTCGGGAAATTTTTTACCATCAAAATACAAAAGTCTTGTGGATCGGGCGAGTTGGTATTTCATGAACTTAGCCTGTATTAGCGTGGCCCATATGAAAATAAAACGAGGAAAGACGACAGAGCACCTATCTTTCCAGACATCTCTGTCATCTTTCCCCCTTTTATTTTTATATATGCCACGCTAGCACAGGCTAAGATCAAAATACCTCGGTGTTCCATTGGATTGATATAGGACAAGCGCACATCACTAGAAAGAACGTGTACCAAACTGATAGCGTTATGCCTAGACGTTTATCTCCCATAACATTTCAATCTTTGGCAGAGCTAAAACATGCATTTTATTCCTAACAACAAAAATATTCTAAGCACTGCAATTACTCCACTGTTTCAGGACGTAGATTCAAAGGTTTCACCGAATATACACTGCCTTTATTTGGTCCTCAAGCTATGAAACAGCGAGACGTGACAATGTTTTTAGAACAGTTTGTGCAGGTGGTCACCTCTTTGTTAAATATTTGGTGTCTCGTTTCTTATACTTTCAGGACTGTTCTCATGCACTACTTCAACCATTCTTGCAAGTTAATCTCACCAATGTCTTGCGAAGTTTAATGGTGTCTGCCATTTTTCTCGCGGCAATTTGCAACGATTCATGCGTAAAGTGTATGAATCAGTGTGTTTTCTGGGAGGCAGACTTTCTGATGATTATTTGTCTTCTAGCTCAAGGAAAGATCTATATAATGATAAATTAGACATATTATTTTTTGCATCATTTCACTGCTCTCTGTTTAATTATTTACCTGGACATTAAGGGCTTGTCCGTGCGAAGAAAATGCAGGATCCGCTGGTACAAGTCATCTTTTCGTCCACGTTTCTTTAAATAATAATACAATCATTTTATAACAATTCCTCTACTTAACCTGGGCATATTGTCTGTTAGTTCTCATAAATATCGTGGAAAAAAACAAACTCTTAAATTTACCATTTCCTTCATTCGTAGCGAGGGTCTCCTTCTGGCAGACTTCATGCCGTGAAGTGGTATGCGAAGGATTGTTGATCAGCTACCATCTCGTAATAAGATCACGTACTACGTGACGCCAAAACAAGCAATAAGAGTGTTCCACACTCGTTGCAGTGACACCAGGTGGCGCTCGCAGAAGCTCCCACGTTGAAAACGCACATATATACCCTACAGAGTGAACGGAGGGATGACCACCGCCGTATAGCTTAGAAGTAGAGCATTGGATGCGTTATTTCAGAGTCACAGGCTCGGATCTTGCCAGTGCTAAGTTATCTTGGCGTCCACTTTTCTTCCTTCACAATTACGTTAAGATCACTTCTAATAAGAACTCCTGTACTATCCCTGGCATTATTGTCTTTAAGTTCTCATAAATATTGTGTCTAACGAAGAAATCGAACCCTTAAGTTTACACTTTCCTTCATACATGATCACATGCCACTCAAAAACAATTCTATGCTTGTTGACATGCTCTTACTTAAGAGTATGCATAAATTAAGAAAAAAACTCACATGGTACACAGGCACGCGGAAACAATTGTATCATCACACCTGTACTTCATACAAATGGCTCTACAGCTAAAAGATGTTTATCGACAGCTGCAGTTCCAGCCGCACTGCACGGCTGGAAATTCCCTCTTCATGAAATGCACGGAACGGATTCCGGTTTACACAACTTCTTTCTGTGGAACGCTGGATGTACGCTTGTAGAGCTTGTACAATTGTTTCGCCATAATGTGCATTACGCAAAATTGTAGTAAATACGATGAATGAAAATAATAGCATGGCTCTGCGGTAGAACACCTCCTTGCTGTGCAGACGGCCTAAGTTCGATTCTCAATCGAAGCTAAGTTTTTATTATTTATTTTACTCTCATCTTTCTTGGCTTTTTCAACAAGTAAGAGATAATCACTCGCTCACAACCCATAACACCAACGCCGTAATACCAGCGAAACAAGCTCCTAAATTTAGGCAGACCATGGCAAACCTTAAGTAGGAGAGCTTGTGCAGCCAGCAGTATGCGAATATTTGTGTTGCAAGTGTTGGTTAGAACTGGAAGACTATATCTCAGAAACCTGAAAAAACACTGCTTTGTACAATTCTAACGTTGCATCTGCCGACATTCCCCAATTTTTAATACCTGGGAACTTAGATGGGTAATTGCTGACAGGGGGTCACTTCTTCTAGCAGGTCCATTATTAGCAGGTCCATTTATCAGTAGTGTTTTGCAGTACGTGTAAATAGGGTCCTTTTCATGGGCACCTATTTTTACCACTTGAAAAGAAAAGTTTTGTCGAATTTTTTTCGAGTTAGTAGAACCTGCGTGAAAAATTTTGCATCCATCTCCTTTCTTTCTTGCCTATACCTTTGTCGGGTAGTGAAGAGTTTAAAATACCATGGGTAATCAACTGATTAATGAACCTTATTATTTCAAGTTAACAAAGCCTATATTCTTCGTTGCTTTTCAGGCTATTCTACCAGGCAGTGGCATGAGCTTATTGTAAAACCTTTTCCCTCGCGTAACAGCTGCTTGAAACGTTCATTCTTTCCTAGCACAATAGTCGACTCGAATAACCTAAAAAATTGTCCCAGCCTCCTCGCTGTCACTGTTTTGCTCTCATTTAAAAGTGCACGTGTTGATTACGTTGCCTTGCTGTCGTAAGTATACTCTCGTTCAAACATCATCAGTATTTCAGCTTGTAGTGTACATAAATGTATGTCCTTTACTATTGAGCCTAATAACTCATACCTGCTGCAACATGTTTAAATTTTTGTCATGTTTTCCAAGTAGAGTAAACTTGTACATGTCATTGTACACTTTTTTACATGTACGCACGTTTTTTGTTTTCAGTTTCATTTTTATCTTTTTTTTATCTTCTTATATTGTCAAATATTCGTTCACTGTATGCTTCCGCCATTTCTACCAAAAGAATACATGCATCACTTTGACTAAATCACCAGACGGTAATTGCAGTATGAATAAAGGCATATCTGTCTATATCAGAAGAACGCAAATGGGTGTCCTTGCAGCATAATTTAACACCCCTTAAAGCGTATATTCGATTTTTTAAAGAGGCGCTCATCTGTACGGATATGTTCTATGCATGAACACGTTTAAAAAGCGCGAATCATGCTCTCCGCGTGCGCGCTATATTTCCAAAATTTTATTTCTGTGATGCTGTGGTCATGATATGTACTAGTGACTTCTACATAATACTAGTAAATCAGTATACCCGAAAACATCTTAACTACAAATTCTCTTAAGAGAAAACTTCAAACGATACTATAGTTGGACATGTTAGTGAAAAAGGCCGGTGAACTGCAAAGAACACTTCAAAAGGGAACCTTGTTGAATTTGAATATGTTGATATTGGTTGTGCAGAAAGTAGCAGTATGATCCCAAGAATATTATTGCTGTGCCTCTGTTTATGTGCGTGCGTTGCGTCTATTTTCATCTATGCCCGATTCGCGATCATTGATTGTACCTATATATTACCAACTTTCACAAACTGCTGGTGAATATAAAACAATAAAAGAAATATAGAGCATGCAGGATTGTTCCCTTATTGTGCATGCCATAAGCGGGTCGTCGCCTTGGTTTCTTACAGACAGGTAGCAGTGAGACGGGTCCAGGATCGCCAGGAGACGAGCAGGGTGGCCCAAAAGGTTCAGCGACTGTAGAACTAGCATCTGACATGAGGCTGGCAGCGGAGCCGCACAGGGATGATCCGGCCAGCGTGGGCACCACGAAGTCGATCGGACGCTCTTGTCTGAAACATCAAGGAAGAGGTGCCTGCAGTGACTATGCTCAAGAAAAACCGTCTCCCGGAGTACCATGTGGTACAGTCAAAGCAGCATGTACAGTGCATGAGCCCTGACCTAATCAAAACAATAGGAGTTATCCAACATGACCGAAGCGTTCACCAGCGAGAACTTGAGGCTTTCATGCCGTTTATCAAATTACGTTACATCAATTAAACTCGATAACCAACAGATAGGCTGGTGTGTTCGACAGGCCAGTAGTCGTAGGGTTGAGAAAAAGCGAATTTAGCAAATAATGATGGATGGGAGGGGGATGAACAACAAGAGGGAAGGCAGGGAGGTTAACCAGGCACATGCCCGGTTTGTACCCTACGCGGGGGGAATGAGAAGGGGGGCAAATAAAAGCAAATAAAAGCCCGCGAAAAGTCTTGAGGCTGTCTTTCACACTTTTTGAATGCGGAGCATTATCTTATCCTTACTCGCACGATGTCGCGCTTCGGCGCCGGCGCCGTCCACTCCCACTGCGCATGCTCGCTTCGTGCCTCGTGCCTCGTCTCCCTCAAGCGCGGGCGGTGTGTATATAAGCGGCGGTGAACAAGTTCGTATTTCGGTCAAGGGTGTTTCCTCTCCGTCCAATACATAGACGGCACCAAGCAATAAAGACACACTTTGACTTTACACTCTTTTCCTCCGCTTCTTCTTCATTCAATAAATATGAATAATCAAGACGAAATAACAATTAGGAATTCCCAAACTATACCCAATTACGCAACATTCACACGATAACCACACCGCTCTGCGGCACATTTACACGAGTTTCCCACGTGGGAAGATGCGAGCGCTATTTTTTTCCCCTTTGCTTGCGTAATAACACCTGGTCAAGAGAGACACAATATTTGAAGAAAGTCTCTGAAGTGGGTCTGTTCTAGCCTGCTCTTCTACACAAGGAAGACGGTGAGCAATGACGTAAATGTAGGAGAAGCGAAGGTGGGGACACAAGAAGGAGGCATGCAAGGATGAGTAAAATTTCACCATTTTAGGAATTATTAAGTACGAAATTGTTATGAAAAATGCACTCTGCGCACTATATCACAGAGCCGCGCATGGAAAAGTAACCTCATAAAAAGGCAAGGAGAGGCTTATCTGCGGGTTTCCCCTTCATGATCAGCAGAGGCTTAGAGAACATATATATATACAGGGCTGCGATAAACGACCCCACTACAGCAAGCACATGCATTGCTTTTAGTGATCCGAGTCTTGAGGCGAATCTAATAGTTTCGCCTATATGTTGGTTAGCTTGTTTTTTTTCTCCGATGTAAGCAAAGGTGTGTAGTATGGTGGCCGCTGAGAATCTTTCGCATTATTTCAAACCACATGCTCCATATTTTGCTCCAGATTTTGTTTTTATTATTTTCGGTCCTTGCTTGCTAATATAGTGCTGGTGGCTATATTGGCCCTGCCACTCGGTTCTTGACGTAGAGGACCACTACAGCCCGTGAGTCTAGAAAGGATCAATGTCTATTTTGTGGCTCTGTCGACCAGTCTCAACGAATATTGGTCCTGAATTCTTACAGACCTCGAATTCTCTGTAGGTGTGGTTGCTGCCTTTTGTGTGCAGACGCAGACATTCAGAGGTTTAGCGTTTGTGTCAGGGCAAATCCTGCTTCGAAGACAAATCCTTGTACACTGTTTCAGCGTATCTATTCGTAACTGTACATATTTGTAACGTGCTAAAGCAATTGTTTTAAAAGGATTGTTGCATCCACTACGAAGGATCTCCTTTCAATATTGTTTTCAGCAGTAGGGAATACCACCTTTGATACCACAACAAAAGCTGGGAGTGGGTGCCGAATCCTTTGAAAATGCGGTGTCAGACTTTCAATATGGACCGAAATTTTTTATTCACGTGATAAAGTTAAAGGCACCAGTGCTCCGAGGTTTTGCTGCGGTAAAAAGAAATGAGAATGAAGTTATGTATTCATTGGCTTGTTTCATGTCTTAGAGAAAATCCTTTTGCACTTACACGCACTTGATTTAACAGTTCAGTACCTTCAGATACTGGAAATAGATTATGCTCATATCGCAGACCGGTGGGCATATGATCCTTGTTAAGTAAAAGCAAATATCTAGCGTGAAGTTTCAATATACATTAAAGGATCTAAGAATGAGCGTGTTGGTATGGTTATAAGTACAAGGTGAAACTTGTAGTGCACAAAAAAAAACGAAACAGAATGCGAAAGTGACGACACTGACAGGAAAAAGCACTCGATACTGACAAGAAAGAGTGCTCGCTGTACTTCACTGCGAGTTTCCGCCTTTTTTCTCTTAAGCTAAGTGTGGCGTATACGTGCTTTGTAGCACACGGAGAGATTTCAATGCAATGTCTTCATGTTCACTGTCACTCCTTCACGTGTAAAAGTGTCCTTACACCCAAATTTATTCATCAGCTGACCCAAAACATTTACTATGCAAATGGCTGGCTGGCTGGGTTTAAACCACAGGCGTCAAATGTTTTAAATAACCGTTATAATTCACAAAAGGGGCTTTTTATGACAGAATCATTCGTAAGAGCAAAGTCCATCACATCCGTAATCTTAATGATGGACACACAGTTACAGAACGCCGATCAATTACAAGCAGAATTTATGGGAACGAAAAGCCCTGTTCGTTTTACTATGTTCCATTATTACGCATTGAGCAAAGCTTGTGGAACTCAATCATTTGACACAAGTAAACTGGTAGAAAGCAAAAATAAACTTCAGCACAATACGCCTTCCTTTCCCCCTCGTATTGCATTCTTCTGTATGAACTCGATCAAACTTTAAGGTGTCCTTGTCCACATAGACGTGGCGGAGATATTTTTGGGAGTAGTCAGCCTAAAAATGGACGCTGTCCTTCAAGCGCAGTCCTTACGCTATGCAGCCGCCATAGAAGTGCGGCTCGTTGGTGCCACGGCGCAGACTACGCCGGGACGTGGGCGAGGGCGTGCGGTCGTTGGGGCCGGCCACCGAGATAGACACCCTGGGCGAGCGGCTGCAGTCCAGGCGCTCGTAGGCACCCTGTTCGGAGGCGGCGGGCTGGTCTTCCGTCTTACGACGGCGACGTTGCAGCAGGCAGGCTACACTCAGCGCCAGCAGCAGGCAGGCGGCCGCAGCGGCTAGGGCACCCGGCAGCGCCGCGCTCTGCAGGAGACTGCCAGCAGGGCCTGTGGGGGGTCCAGACCAGGCGGGTTAAGGCAGCGAGTCTGTATGGCACTCCGCGTTTGAACGTGACTGGAGCAGCGGAAGTGCATTGAGGCAGCTAAAGCGGAAATCGCCAAGCGTTCCGAGCAGATCAATCGTGATAGAGACAATACAGCGATCAATGGGCCTTTTCTAAAATCAATTTCTTGGCCGCCTTCTCGAGGTCTTCCCGCCTTGTGTCGCCGTCACGTTTGATCGGATGATGTTGTAGAGAATATGCGATAATGTGTGAATGAAGCGCTAAAGAATCAATATCTTATACTGATTCACGATGACAGATAAGCGCTGATAGACGAATGCCGAAATAGCTACAAGACATATCAATCTTATTGCTGTTCAATTATTGTGCATTACCGTTTCCGTAGTTAGTAATCAACAACTATAAAAATATGTATGCTTCCACCCGAGCAACGATACTTTTTGTGCCTCACTGAAAAGGCAGTTGATTGTGTGGCAGTAACTTGCTTCTGCTAAACTGCTTTACAAAGTAAGCTGGAGTCACAACCAGCGGAGTGTTTTGCAATATTGCGATTACGTACATGTCTTGCAGGATTCAATAAATGTTGATCCAATCCAATCCAGTCAAGATGTGGAGATTGACCACGTGAACCATGGGGCTCTCGGGATCAGCTCATTTTACTTTTAGCCTATACGCTGTGCACAGGTTAGGTGCAATGACTACACTAGGCCGGTGTTGTCTCCAGCACGATTTCCTACTGCTTACGCCAACTCCCAATAGTACTAGCACATTAAATTAATTAATATCTGCTGCATGTGTTTCTTTCCATACACTACTGTTTTTTTTTCATACATGCTGGCACACAAATAAGGCTTCTTATGAGCAAGCGCTCTCGAAATGGTTTGGATCTCGATAGTTGTTTACCGTCAAACCTATGTGTGGTGACGTTTGCAAGAAACGATACCACTCGTCGTCAAAATGTTGAGACAAGGGCTCCATAGGCAAATTGTTTTTGCAAGCTTTCATAACTGAGAGTTTCGACCTACTCATTGGCTCTAATTAGAGACAAATCATTGGCTCTAATTATAGGCTCTAATTATATTTATAAAAATAAAGGTTATATGCAAACTGAACCTGAAAAAGGAAAAGAAACACAAAAAAGACAGTGTGAGCACTTTGACGAAAATTTCATTCTGTGCGCCAGCCCTGAAGGCACCCATACGGCAAGAAGAAAACAGCTGGCGCACTGGGACGACCCGATGAGATCCAACAAGCACCGACAGCAAGGCAGCGTTGACACTTAACAGGTGGTAAAGACGGTCGAGTTCATGCGCATTCCTTATTCGCGACACCAAGTACGTGTGTTCAAAGGCAAGTACGCGTGTTCGATCTGTGTGTGTTCAATCTGTGCAATCTGTGCGTGTTCAATCTGTGCTTCACATTTTCTTTAGCGCTGTAGTAACTAAAAACTCACGGAAGCTGAACACGTACACAACTCCATCTCCTCAGGAAGATTGCAGGAAAACGGTATACATGTTCAGCGCACATCGATAACTGGCACTTCACAAGACCCCTGTGAACATTTTGATTTCTGGAGACAAGAACAAGAACAAAGAAAGACTTAGGTGACACCTGCAATGACTTTTTATGAGCGAAAGTCTCAATCCAGTTACGAGGCTGGCCGTAATTGAAAACATCAAATTAATTTTGACAGCAGGGGCTTTCCCTGACACACTACAAGTAACCCTAAGTAAAACAGCTGTTAAACAGCTTTTTATTATTTCGCACACATCAAAAAGCAGGCGTCAAACAAGGAACGAAACGCACGACTTGAAGTTCACCAGCTTAACCTGCAAAGGACACAAAAGATGAAGTGAATGAAAAAAAAAATCCACAAGGGTCTGACATCCGCGTACTGAAAAAAAGAACGAATGAATTCTGGTGTAGGGAAGGATAGCTTTTACTAGGTTTGAGTAGGCCCCACGAAGGACACCTAAGCTCAATACTAAGCATTAATTAATAATATTATTTCAACTATCATGATCATCATCATCAGTTTAACTACGTCCACTGCAGGACAAAGGCCTCTCCCATGTTCCGCCAGTTAACCCGGTCCGGTGCTTGCTGCTGCCAATTGATACCCGCAAACTTCTTAATCTCATCTGCCCACCTGGCCTTCTGTCTCCCCACAACTCTCTTGCCTTCTCTGGGAACCCAGTTAGTTACCCTTAATGACCAGCGGTTGTCCTGTCTACGCACTATATGCCCGGCCCATGTCGATTTCCTCTTCTTGATTTCAACTATTATATCCTTAACCCCCGTTTGTTCTCTAATCCACTCTGCTCTGTTCTTGTCTCTTAAGGTTACACTTACCATTCTTCTTTCCCTTGCTCGCTGCATTGTCCTCAATTTAAGCTGAACCCTCTTCGTAAGTCTCCAGGTTTCTGCTCCGTAGCTAAGTACCGGCAAGATACAGCTGTTATATACCTTCCTCTTGAGGGATAGTGGCAATCTACCTGTCATAATTTGAGAGTGCTTGCCAAATGTGCTCCACCCCATTCTTATTCTTCTAGTTACTTCGATCTCGTGGTTCGGCTCCGTGGTTATTACCTGCGTTAAGTAGACATAGTCTTTTACAACTTGAAGTGGACTATTACCTATCTCGAAGCGCTGCTCTCTTCCGAGGTTGTACATTACTTTAGTTTTCTGCAGATTGCTTTTAAGACCCACCTTTCTGCTTTCCTTGTCTAACTCCGTAATTATGAGTTGCAATTCTTCCCCTGAGTTACTCAGCAATGCAATGTCATCGGCAAAGCGCAAGTTACTAAGGTACTCTCCATTAACTCTTATCCCTAACTGTTCCCATTCCAGGCCTCTGAAAACCTCCTGTAAGAACGCGGTAAATAGCATTGGGGAGATTGTATCCCCCTGCCTTACACCCTTCTTGATTGGTATGCTGTTGCTTTCTTTATGAAGCATTATGGTTGCAGTTGATCTCCTGTAGATTTCTTCCAGGTTGTTTATATATGCTTCATCGACGCCCTGATTCTGCAGTGTCTGTATGACTGCTGATATTTCTACTGAATCAAACGCCTTCCCGTAAACTATGATGGCTATGTATAGTGGTTGGTTATATTCTGAGCATTTCTCTACTACCTGATTGATAGTATGAATGTGGTAGATTGTTGAGTAGCCTGTTCGAATTATTATTATTATTATTATTATTATTATTATTATTATTATTATTATTATTATTATTATTATTATTATTATTATTAATAAAGCACCTCAAGCAAAGGTAAAGGTAGTCTAGCAATTTGCCTCTTAACGAAATAAGTAATATACTGATACTGGAATAAAAAAAAACATCGATTAAGAAACCTCTACTAATCGTTGTTGTTTTACGTGGGATGGTGTGCAGTGCACTAGCTTTGTCTACTCTATCTTTAGCTATTCTGCCATTGAAGTGAATGTGGGAGGCACAGCGCAGACGAATCACAACAAGCCCTGACACTCCATGCATACACATTTAACCTTAGGTGAACTGAATAATCTGTAAGATCTCGAAATAAAAAAAACAGAGTATCGCTCCACATCATTAGTAACATAGATCTGCTGAAATGGAACCCAAGACGAAGCGTGATGATTCCAGTCTAAGCCCCAACCAACATAAGAGGCTACACGATGAACTTGAAAAAAAAAATAAGCAGAGACGGTGGTATTTTGTCGATAATGTGTTAGGCAATCCCGGTTGTGTCCGACCGGCTCATTTTGTGGACTTAGTGCGCCATCACTCGAGCAGATGAAGATGGACATCATGCAATTTAGATATAGTGTGAACGTTGGTCAATGCCTTGAAGATGAACACAAAGACTCCAGGGGCCGCTGAAGAAACAACCCTTCGTACTGCACCTTCGTATGGGCTGTTTACTCGACTAGACACTAAGTGGATCACATGGTTGGCAGATCAAGGGACAGCAGAGTGGATAATGTTATAGAAATAAACGCAACAAATTTTTCACAGTATGACAAAGGGAAGGAGGGGGTGATAAAAAACAATGACTTTTGTGATAATGTATATTGTGTCTAGCCGTGCCGTGTCTGTTCATTACTGTCATTGTTGTGCAGATACTGTGTCGAACAGTTTGTTAGGTACTACGTCAAAATAAACTCTTCCTAACCTCTTAAAAATCTAGGTGTACTCACGTTATTAATAAAAAGTGTCATTAAATAAGGTTCTAAACTGATTGCTTTTTCCCATGCATTAAAATATACCAAGTGTAGAAGGCAAGTTTCAAAGGCGTGTCCAATCTTTTGGAAGGAAATGTCGGGATGACACATGAAACAGAGTCCTGTTACGCTAACACGGAGTAGTAATAAAACTGCCACTCGAATTCGCCGAACACTCCAGGAACTAACATGTCGAAAGTGGAAGTAAGTGCGCATGGAAACAGGATTCATCAGCCTCAGTTCACTAATTCATATAAGTAAAGACAATATTTACTGTTTTCATTTCAAAGTTAATGCAGTATATATTAAGTAATTTCTGGCTACGTGGGCCATTTTTAAGATGTAACTTTTCGAACGCGAAAGCTTTTGTGCCGGAATCCACCAGGACCTTTCGGTACGCAGTGAAAGGTGCCTAGCACTCAACTCACATGCTCTACCGACACACACGAGGCTGCAGAAATGCACCTGATATATCTCACACTTTCTGCGTGAAAGACACGCCAACGGGACCATGCAGAACTGCAAAAAGAAGGATGTTTGGGCGTGTTGGTTTTTCATCTTTCTTCATAAAACTGTCCCGTGTCTTGCGCGCTCTGTTTTATGAAGGGACAAGAACGCCTTCGCGTGTTTACCGCTCAAGCTACGAACGATGCATCTCCCGTTCCTGAAGTGCTGTGTGGTATGCACGAGCAGAGGCATAGGTCACTTCATCGCTTGGAAGCGTACACTGCACTGTTTTTACTCAAACAAATAATCTTTAAAGGGGCTTTCTTAGGCGTATTAGTAGTTCAGCGTTTTTAAGAAACCATAGCGCACTCAACGAACAGAAGAGAAGTATGCTATCTTCATTCTGCATGCCTCAGATTCCTTTAGTGCATGCATCTTATCGCTTCTTAAGTACGGTGGCTTGAATGAATGCATATGTTTATTATGTGTCTGTTTATGGCACCTATAGGTGGTATTCACACTATGCTGCATTCCAGTCTATGTTAACTACTTCAATCACCACAAATGTTTAATCATGACCATGGACTTTTGTCGTTAAAATGGAAATGCGCGATCAAGCGTAACACTGGTGCATCAGGGTTAAACGAACCTCTAGCTGCCAAACACCAATAGTCATTGTACATGCTCTCATATATCAAGTTAAAGTGAACCATCAACTACTCCTGTGAAGACGTGTTTCGATTTCGTGTTATGTGATTCATATGATGGAGTGAGCAACCATGTTTTTTTTTCTTCAGTAATGATGCTTACAAATCACACTGTTTCGTAGCTTCGGCTGTTCATTTCCCTTTTTCGATGATCAGATGCCACCAAACAGTGAAGACAAATAATGTAAGAGAACGAGGCCGAACAATGGCAAACTGCATTAGAACGTGAAAGATCTTGAAGTTTAAGAAAGGACATAACTCGATTTCGAGCAACAATTAGGATTTATTGAGATTAAGAAGAGTTGTAGATATCAGCGCTAGCTGTAAGGACAAATGTTTTTCGAACAAACACAAAGAGCACCGTATTATTGCTTTGTCAGCAATAGTTTTCTCTTTGGAAAATAGAAGAGTGGCTTCCTGTGTGGAATGAGCTCAACTTTTTATGCAGGTATTGGGGTTCGTGTAACCGGACAAGAGAAAGATAGCTTACAAACGAATCCCCACCTGAAACTCAATCCTGAGAGCCGAAGCAGCAATATGGTCTGGCCAGTACACGCGGGTTTCGTCCACACGTTTATTTTCATTCACACAAAGCTCACAGCAAAGCCGGAGGCCTGAACGCCAGCACTGTTCTTTTTTTTTTCTTTAAATTTATGTTCACGCTCAGGCGCTGTGTTCGCAGAGCTCTAGTTTCGCTCTGTTTTAACGGGGGTTTAAGCAATTCGATAGCGACGATAATACCCATCCCTGATTCCGGAAGTCTTCCAAGACAAAACACTGAAGGCCACTTTCTGTATACACAGAGGAACGGAAGTGCAGCCAATCTTGGCTTTGTCCCTAGAAAGCCTCTAGCTCTGGCCAGTATAATGCTTTCTTACAACAACGCACTAAAACTTTGCAACATCTTGAACGGCATCGTATTAGACACCACGTAACCTGCGTACAAAAGCGACTGCACGCAGTTACGCAGCGCGAAATATTTGAGATATAAAAGGCAATCACCTCCACGCTTCACGTTCTGCAAGAGAATTCATTGCATTTTGTAACTATCTTGATGAACACACTAAGGGTGAGGATGTGCGCTTCGCTTCTGAAGAGCTCTCGTTCCTCCTTTACCAGGCCTTGCCATGCGTGGTGCAAGATACGGATATAGTTGGGCATGGGGAGATTGCGCTTAATTATTCCGCGCATCTCTATGATCTTGCGATTCCCAAACTCGGATAAACCACAAGAAAAACCACCGCTGGTTTTCTTCGCGCAAGTACATAGTAGCTACAGGTGTTTTTTCCGCAATTTTTGTGATGCTGATAAAACCAGTCCAAGAGCAGCCAATCGCTGGAACGGCTTAACATTTGTGGATGTTCGAGAGAACGGGAAATTGTTGCTTCTACACTGCGCAAGGTACCGTGGTAATCTTTAGTTACCATCTTTAGAAGCCATGGAATAATCTTAGGATTTATTTTAATAAAATCAGGCTATAAAGTCGTGAATTTTTATGCACACTATTGTCCCCTGTATGAATCCCCATTTCGACCAATAATATACGCCCCACTGGCATTGACTTGTACTTTATGTAACGAAAGATTGTCATGTCAGAAAATTTTCTTGTGAATTCAAGCACATGTGTTTGAACTAATACAGTGTGCGGCGTTGGACAGTAAGGATAAATGGTTAATACTGCATGTCTAAGGTTTTGAACCGGGTAAAGCTTCTTATTAGTCATGTTTTGGCGTTATTTGTAGTAATGATAGGTTGAATAGAGCATAATTGACAAAATATGCGCCCATTTGATAATTACCTGCATCCGAACATCTTGCACTATTCATGTAGTGTACACACTTCTGTTTGACAACCCTTAAAAGGAAACCCCGCCACGGTGGTCTAGTGGCTAAGGTACTCAGCTGCTGACCCGCAGGTCGCGGGTTCAAATCCCGGCTGTGGCGGCTGCATTTCCGATGGAGGCAGAAATGTTGTAGGCCCGTGTACTCAGAATTGGGTGCACGTTAAAGAACCCCAGGTGGTCAAAATTTTCGGAGCCCTCCACTACGGCGTCTCTCATAATCAAATAGTGGTTTTGAGACGTTAAACCCCACAAATCAATCAACCCTTAAAAGGAAACTTTGGGCCGAAAACTCTCACATAAATACACAAAAAATGACGTACTTTTTTGGCAGTCCCTACTTATATTGTTTCGTAATACTTGCTGCAGCTAAAGTGAAACGTCACATCAGGAGAATCATAGCAAGTTGATTTCAAACAGAAGGGCTGTTCAAATCAGGCCGAAATCTTTCTAACACACACAAAGAAAAAAACGTGCATTCATGACGTCAGAGCGTGTTACTTAGCAACTAGTTGCACGGCTGTGTACCAGCTTCGCTCGATGATACGCTGCTCCGCCAACAGCCTGCCTGCCTGGAGAAACAATGAGGTCCGAAATCTATTGCTTTCGGTCAATCATTGATTTCGGTCAATGCCCGAAATCAATGAGGTGCCCCCCCCCCCCTGAAAAATATCACAGCATATCCACGGAGTGAACGGTGATCACTGGCGCGAATGCTATGAGGGTTTCATGAATAAGACGTGCATCTTCCGTACGTTCATCTGTCTGTCTGTCTGACTGTCTGTCTGTGTGTCTGTCTATTCGTCCTTCCGTCCGTCCGTCCGTTCGTTCGTATGTCAGTCTGTCTGTCCATCCGTCCGTCCGCAGCTGCTGAGTGAGTCATCGAACTAGGCGGCCAGGTACGAGCTAGCAGGGCCAGACCCACGGCTTTAGACGCTTCGCCCCTAAAAAATTTTTGTCTACACGCCTGGGCCGAGGTAATTACGCCACATTTTAAGAATATCATGCTAATGACGCCATGTAAAGCTAGGACTGGGCTAACTAAAGCATGCTAGTGGATGAGCTAACTAAACCTTGGTGATTAACGTGACGTTAATCATGAGCACTCTAAGTAATACCGTCCTAATTAAAGCCTTACTACTAAATTAATTATTATACTGCTAATAAGGATTACGTTTAATAGCTCCACACTGATCATGGTTTTGCCAATCGCGCTCCAGATAATTGCCCTTTATTTTATACCTTATCAATGAAGGAAATACAGCTCAGTGTAAAGGTCGCTACACCTCAGTCAATTACTGCAATCAAAATTAAGATAGAGCTAATGCGGTCTTAACTTCAAAGCCGACCAAGCACATGAGTGAACGACCATCTTAAGAAGCTGCAAGAAGCTAGGTTATACCAAAGTCCTCTATGGCTCCAGTCTTGCAAAAGTAGTGCATGCTTACCAAAATATTTTATATGCAAAGAAGCTGCCGCTTAGCTTCACCGCAACAAATTCTTGACAGTCAAACCGGCACTATGACGGTCACGGATTGAACTGGGGCCTTCTCAGAATCAACGAGTTTGTATCTGAGTTCACGCGTCAATCAGTTTGATTGACAGACGCCCGCGGTGAAGATTGGGTTTGCCCAACACGTTTGCTCTTGCCGATGAGCAGTACTCACGTCGAGCGGCACGAACAATCTATCAGCTTTACCGCGCATACTATGCACACATGCACGCAGAAATAAAAAGTGATATCACTACGCGGCCATGATGTCTCGCATTCAAGTTCACCGTGCTCACGACGTACTCAATCACAGCCGCGTTGCCGCTATGATGCGAGCGCTCCTGGTGACCTCCTGTTCGTACATTTGTCTGCAATATTTCATAGAAGCGAATTCAGCAGCACTCTTCGGGAGTGGGAATTCTCATGCTGTAGGTGGAACGAAAGAGCCTGTAAAAAAAGAGGACAAACGCCCATTATTATGCCTGTGGGAGACGCGTGTAGCGAAAGATAGCGCGACAATCACGCTGACATCACTGCACCGTTTCAATGTTGACTGAGTGGCGACGCTCACGTGTTCGCACGTGGCGTTTCTCTAATAACAACCGCAAATGTTGTGTGCATTTTATAAATAAAATAAAATGTCCCCCATGCGTTTCCAATGCCACGCGCGTTTTTGTAGCCATTTTTATCAACGCTGCTATCACGCGCTCCGCACTTTCTTCGTGTCATGGCCGCCGTAGAGCGAGCTCGGAGCGAACTCTTCTACCTGATAAGCTCGTATCATCCTGCATAGCACCCCAGGTCCTCAATGCAAATCTTTTTGGGTCTCTGAAATAAAAAGATGCAGTCAAGTATAACGCCATGTAAGCAAATCTGTCCAGCTGTTCTTGTTTTGTCAAAAAAATTATTCAATTTGCATGAATTTGAAAGTATTGCACAGCCGTTGCTGCCAAGAAAAAATTCATGAATGAAATGAAGCTTTGCTCCAGACAACAACTGAAAACGTTTAAATAAAATACTCGACGTTTTAGAGGAAAAGTTGAACTCTAGATGTGATCGATGGCAGCATAGTTTTACATCAGAGCTGTTAGGATCGAGGCTCGCCTTGTATTGTATATAATAAATAACCATAATCACGAACAGGCACGTGGTGAATGACCACCCAAGCATTCTGTACTGATGGTTAACAAGAGAAGCTGAAACGTAAAGGGGTTCACCGAATTTCTGTGTCACACGCACTTGTGTGCCTTTCTTGTGGGCTGCGTTTTTCTTGCGCTAAGTAACTTTCGTCGATATGCACCAACTAGGCCCTCAAAAAGTCATGTTATGGGGAAGCTTTGTCCTGTGGCGTACATAGAAGATTACTATTATCGTAAACTGGCACTGGCTCAATGACCGCCCAAGCATTCTGTATAGATAGCTTGCTAGAGAATCCGAAACATGCCTGCCAGCTCTGCTGTGACACAGCCTTGAGCGACTTCATGAAAGCTGCGCTAATTATTTTATGCAATGCCTGTAATACTTTTGTTGAACTGCCTAAAGTAGATGGGTGTTTAACAAATAGAAGCATGAAGCGCAGAGTGTCGTATTATTAATAAACCAGTAATATAGATAACGTTGCTCTGAAAATGACACCTGTATGAATGATTTTCATTTGATCACTATTCAACGAAAATTTGGAGTAAGTTGGACACTGTGACACAAGTGGATGACCTCTGAATCCGTTTTCCGTGAGCGAAAAAGAGGGGGGAGGCAGAGAGGCGAGGAGGTTGACCATGTTGCACCTGATTCGCTACATTACAAAGGGCAAGGGGCAAAAAAAGAATAAAGAAAAGAACGAGGAAACAAGTGAAGCCTCCAATGAGCGCATAAATATATGGCGGGCTGTATAAATTTTGAATAATGTATTTCGGAACATATTTTGAAACTATGGCAAGTTTTGGTCCCGAGGATACCGTCTTAATGGTATTTTTGGCAGGATTGAAGGAACGTACATGAATAGAATTTCGGTAAGTCGCAATCCAAATTAGCTCAACAGGGTAGAATTTTTCGCTGCAAAACTTATACAAATGGAGGAACCGAAGAAATATAAACCTCAATTTCTCCAACGAAATACATTTAGAATAGAAGAGGTGAGTCTGAGTGAGCCATAATTTTTTAATATATGTATTTTTGTGTGAATCTTAGTGACTTCCATTCAATTTGCTAACCTATACGCACGGGTTAATCAAAGGTCTGTACCAAATTTCTCATTGTCTCCTCGTAACAAACAACGGGTATGTTCAGTCCCGAGCCAGCAGACGATGTAACCATCGCAGAGACAGCGCAAGGGTGCTGGCTCATTTACCCTGTAATCCGCGCCGTGAATTGCTTTGATGTTTTTCAGCTTCTCTGCGCCTGGGAACGAATGCATTTTTGATAAGATTATAGTTGGATTTAGATGAGTGTGTTTTAAAACCCTCCAAAACCAGAAAAGAGTGAACAGGAAGGGGGGTCTACACGAATGTGTTTAATATTCGCTTGCATTGGAGGAAAATCACCGAAAACAATATTTTTTGGTGCCACCGTTAAGGGTAATGTATGCTCTTCTACATACTGCAACACAAGCCCACTCAAACCACCCGCGTTAAGTGAGAAGCAGCTCATTTGAATCGGAACAGAGTAATATGTTTTCTGCACTCTTTTACTCGACAGTACAATTGCATCCTAAGTCCCACGGGCGAATTGAAAAAGGCCTGAGAAATATTCCTGTTAAGATTTTCTACAGTGTTTAGTTAGGAAAATGGATGCCTAGCGGTGAATAAAGTCTTAACTGCGTTAATTCATCAA